GAGACAAGGTCTCTCTAAACAACCCTGGCTGTCCTCAAATTCCCTATGTAGATGCTCAAATACAAATACTGTTTTGTACATACATCGAAAGGTAAGAAGCCCGGACAAGAAACACTAACAGTCTTGGGTAGCATCACAAGCGTACACAGTGCTGAGAGCCAAGAGGGCCAGAAGCTGTGTGTGGCACACCTGCAGCCTCTATCCGGATGTAGAAGCGGGAGGATCCATAGCAAGTTCTAGGCCGGCGTGGGTCAAATGAGATGCTGTCTCAAAAAACAAACAAGAAGCACAAAAAATCAGGCCTGCTACCATGCATAGTGGCTTCCCGATTCAGCAGTTCCCCAGTTTGTTCACCAGAGGGCAGCAGTGACTAGCACAAAAGCAGGGGTCTGAAAACAACTGACCAAGCTGGGTTACAAAATACTGTGTCCAATGCCTGCTGCAGTTACAGCTGCCCTGATCCCTTAGAATGGATTCGCCAGCTGCAGACGCAGAGCTGTGGCCTAGAGTGTACCTAGCCATGAGTGCAACTTTCAGAACTGAATAAAACCAGCCATGGTGGCACACACGTACACACACACACACACACGTTATAGACTGTAATAATTCCAGCATCTGGGAGACAGAAAATCAGAAGTTCAAGGCCAGCCTGAACTATACAAGACCCAGTCTCAAAAACAAACACAACCTGCTGAGCTCTAACAGCATAACAGTCCAACCTTGCTATACAAATCCAAAGCACAATTCCAACTGTGGAGTGAGGGTAGAAACTAGGTAGATGGGACGGCTCAGTCAGTATAGCACATACCATCAACTCAGGACGGACGACCTGAACTTGGTCCCAGTACCCATGCAAAATTCCCAGGGCTCAGGAGCTAGAGATGAGTAGATTCTTAGGGACTGATGGCCTATCAGCCTAGTCTAAAGGTCAAGGCCGCAGGCTAGAGAACAAGCATGTTTCAAAAATGGCTGACCCTGGGATTCACACAGTAGAAGAGAGGACTGGACTCCTGAAATGTATCCTCTGACCCCCCCCACACGTACAGACCTGCGGAAAGCCACTAGAGGTTGACTCCTGGCCTCCACATGCGTGTGCACATACCGAGACACATACATGTACACCCACAAGAACACACACACTTGAATCTGGATGTGACTCACACATGATCTCAGCAGTGGGCAGACTGAGGGGGACTGCAATGAGTTCTAGCACAGCCTTGCTACACAGTGAGTTTTAGGCTAGTCTGAGCAATGGAATGAAAAGTTATCTCAAACACAAATAAACCACCCATAACCTTTACATGACTGACACATGAATAAAAGAACAATTTCTGTGTGACAACTTCTGCCACAGATCTAAGTACTTTGCTCTTGACATTGATGACTTTTAATAGCTTGGAAGGATTGGGAAGAGGGGTAGCCAGGAACCCAAATATCTGCACCCATCCTATAAGTCTGGAGCCTAGCATTCAGGAGGCTGAATCAGGAGGATTCTAAGTTTGAGCCAGCCTGGGCCACATCACAAGACTGTCACAAAAACATAAAGTCTGTATCTGGACGGGCGTTGGTGGGGCACGCCTTTAATCCCAGCACTTGGGAGGCAGAGACAGGCAGATCTCTGTGAGTTCCAGACCAGCCTGGTCTACAAGAGCTAGTTCCAGGACAGCCTCCAAAGTCACAGAAAAACCCTGTCTCGAAAAACAAAAAACAAAACAAAACAAAACAAAAAGTCTGTATCTGCCAGAAATTCTCCAATCACTCCTCTCCAACTCTACTACTCCCAAGTAGTTCAGTCAATAAGCTATTCTTTCAAAACATAACCAACATTTATTGAGCCCTTTTTGAAGGGAGACCTACTGAATGTCTGCTTAATCAAAGATGAGAATGTTACAGCAAGAAGCAACAGGGGAAAAAAGTGTCAAGTCTGAGGATTTGAATTTGCAGGCAAAGTGTTTGCTTTGCACTCAGGCTCTGGCCTGAGGTTAAAGATGTGGGCAAAGCAGGGGGTGAGGCAGCCCCAAGCCACTGAACATGTCTAGCAGAAGGTCACGATGAGATAAGACACAGGTCAGAAGACAGTGTGGAGTCTGATATTGTGCTCAGTAACTGACAGTGATGGCGGGGCTAGAAGTTAGATTAGAAATGCAAGAAGGGTCAGTGTGAACTCGCCGCCATGTAAAGGATCCAGAAAGAGAAGAGGGAGATCCACGTGGAGCTTGACTGCTCTGTGGGACACTTAAATGGAGACTTGGGACAGAGGTCTGACATTCAGATGACCTGGGGCTTATTTATCCCAGAAGCATTTCTTGAAGACCCACATGTACTAGTTGCTGGCCCGAGCATCAGGCAGAATGAACACTGGAAGCCAGACCAGACCTTTGTCTTACAGTGTATCTGTGGAAGGTGGACTGTCACAGTTTGAATAGCAAATGACCCGTCAAGGTCCATGCACTGAAGGTTTGGTCCCCCATCTTTGCTACCCGAAGGTGGAGAAACCCCTATGGGATAAGCCCAGTACAAGACAGTTAGCTCACTGGGGCTGGATGACTGAAGGGGATATTGGGACTCTGGCCCCTTCTTCCTTCCAGCTGCTAAGAGCCGAGCTGCTTCCGTGCTTGATACAAGTCAAAGCAATTGTGTACTGAAACCCTTAAACCGTGAGGGGAACAAACCCTTGTCAGTCAGGCATTTCAGGTGTTTATTAGAGACAGAGAGCTAGCACTACCACAGGGCGCGCTGAGTAACAGGATGCTGAGTCTTGCTTGGGCACTGTGGTCTTGGGTTTCTGACAACAGATTGGTAGACTTATCGTCTTAAGAGATTAAAAAGCTTCCAGATTCTGCTAGCTCCTTTCGACCCCAACTGCCACCATGCCCGGCTGTGACTCTTTCTGTATATCAATATCAGGTCTTCTCCACAAGGGCGGGGACTTTGTTGCTCTGCCACTGCTGTGTATGTCCAGGACTCTAACAGCTTGGGCGCCTCACTGGTTAATGATTATCTGTACTATAAATAACTTGAGGACCCATAGCCAACTAGTAGGCCTTTGAGGAGAAGACCAGTTTGGAAAACCAAACAAGTGAGGGACATTAGTTGGAAACGTATTGAGAGAGGGTGATACACATAAAATATTTAAAAAATGTTTTATCAAACTGCCATGAGGGCAGGGGGTGGGGGTGGGGTTGAAGGAAGGCTCAACCATTAAGAACACTGCTCTTGCAGAAGACCCAGGTTCCATTCCTAGAACCAACATGGAGGCTTACAATCATCAATAACTCCAGTTCCAGGAAATGTGAGACCTTCTTCTGGCCTCCGAGGGCACCAGGAACACACGTGGTATGTACACACATACAGGCACACCACTCATATCTATGAAAAAGAAATCTTTTTTTAAATTATCATTTAAAACCGGGCTCTAATTGAGAATGTTAGCCTCCCCCAATTTTACTCTCCCTCTGATCACTAAACTGTAGACAAGGACCTCTCTGCTATGAAGATGATTACCCCAGGGCCTCTATGCATAAACTTTTTCAAAACACTATTTCTTTCCCATCTTTCAAACTCTAGCTCCATTATCACTTCCTCAGAGTAGATCCCTCCTATCTCACCTAATTCTCTGTACTATACCACCCAGCCACTAACTCATTTGTTTACTGTTACCAAGTCCTGTGATTATCTTGTTAGATCTACCCATGAAACTTGGTTGTTTATCATATCTATTGCACCAAACACAGAGAAGGCAGAGGTATTTGTTAGGAGGTCAGCAACGGGGCGGACCACAAGGTTCAAGCATAAGGCGGCGCTGCAGCTGTGAGGTAGACCTTTCATCTCAGAGGCTGAGACGGCCCAGTAGTCCAAGTGAAGCCTCTGCAAGTTATCGAGAACCTGCTTCAAATATTAAGTTGCTTTTTAAAAAAGACGCGTGCGCCGGGCGGGGGTGGCACACCCTTTAATCCCAGCACTCAGGAGGCAGAGGCAGGCGGATCTCTGTGAGTTCGAGGCGGGGCTGGACCGACAGCCTCCAAAACAATACAGAGAAACCCTGTCTCGTAAACACACACACACACACACACACACACACACACACACAAAGACGCGTGCATGCATGCGTGTGTGTTTATATGTCGCAGGTGTGCTGGTGCTCGAACTAGGGCTGCAGGCGATTATCAGTTGCCAGACCCGAGTACTAAGAACTGAACTTAGGTCCTCGGGAATGGCAGCAAGCACTCTTAACCAGGCCGTTTCTTCAAACCCAGGATTTCTCTTTCACATTATGTCCACGGGGAGTGGGGGTGGAGTATGTGGCATGAAGCACGTATGTGCTGCACATACATACATGCAAGCAGAACACCCACACACAACATGAACGGATCTACTTTGAAAACGGGAGTGTTATTCTTCCCCAAATCCCTCCCCTCATCACAAGAGTGTAGAATGAACCTCGGATTCTGAGCTGAACCCCCAGCTCGGTTTTGAATTTGAGATAGTGTCTGGCTGAACTGTTCAGGCTTCCCTTAAGCTCGCGGTCCTCCTAAGTAAATGGGATTATAACAGTGGATCGCCAAGCCTGACCAAAGGGAAATCACTGAGGCTAAGGAGCAGGGATCATGGAAGACCGTGGGTGCAAAGGGCATCAGGGTCACAGGCACGGGCGCGGTGGGGTCAGGGGCAGAACTCCCGCTTTAAAACGGTACGATGTCTTCGAATGAAACCAGGGTCGCCCTCGCGCCCTCCCGCGCCAGCCAACAGTGCTGTACGCAAGCGCAGTAACGAGATGACGCTCCAGGAAACGCGCGCCAGCTGCCCTTGGCCGACAGGAGACCCGGGCGCTAGCCTAGCGGGAGGGTGGAGAACCGGACCCGACTGCGAGCCAGTGCCTTGCTTCTGCAGAGCCGCGGGCCCCACCTCACAGGGCCACTCCACGTGACTGAGCCAATCCGATCTCGCGGGACTTACGATCCCGAGGACAAACCCTCCCGCCACCATTGGTCTCCACCTACCTCCTGGCGGCGACTAGTTTCTGGAGAAAAGTGTCCACTATGGTGTCGAGGAGTTTCACCCTGGAGATGGTCGTATCAACCGGCACAGATTCCGGAGATGAGCCCTCAGGCCCCTTTTCCGCGGCCTCATTACCATGGCTCACCTCAGCCATGTTGAAATTGAACCGCCAAAATGAATCGCTCCTGGAGCCCCTCCCACCAGGACCTCTGATTGGAGGCAAAGGAATGCCCGTCACTGAACCGGATGGGGCGGGGCAGTTGTCAGAGGAGGCGGTCTAAGGACATGTACTGTATACGAACCTCTGACATCTTGGTTCCCAGCCTGGAAAAACATTCGCGAGCCGAAGTTAGGGGCTCAATAAAAACGTTTAATTACATTTCAAAGATTTCATACAGTGCAACAGTGAATATTCGCAGCTAATATCCTCAAGAGTCCATTTTTACCAAATGGTTAAGTGCATTTTCTCCCCATATGCTTCCAGTTTTCCTGTCTTTTCGAGTTTCTAAATTAGGTTGCTTACGGACCAACAGGTTAAAATTTCTAGCTGTTTTGCTCTCCAGTTTTGGAAAAACGGGCGCCCACTGGCCCATCCTCACCACGGCCAATCCCAGCCCCTGACCTTGGGAAAAGCAGGGGTCCCTTTACCAGCATTGTCCTTCAACCAAGAAGGGAAACGGAGGAAAGGGAAGGGACAGGAGGGGCAGAGACAACACCGTCCAAGAAAATGAAGTCAGGAGGAGAAATAACCTAAGGCATGAAAGGCAGGAACCTCTGTGGTGTCCACACTCTGCCCCAGTAAGGAAGGACCAAAGACGAGGGGGACAAATACCGGACAAAAGTCGTGACCTGAAAGGCTTGAGAGGGGTCCTTGCTTTCATTGTGTTGACAGTTCTTAAGGTGGAGGAGCGAAAATTTCAAAATTGACTGTGGGCTGCCCCCTTCAGATGACTATGGACAAAATTGGAGGACTCTTATTAAAGTGCAGGAAATGAGGCCTGGCGGGGCACTGTAAACCCAGAACTCAGGAGGCCGAGGATGACTAAGAGTTCAAAGTCAGTTGGGCATCCCAGCACTCGGGAGGCGGAGGCAGAGACAGGCAGATCTCTGTGAGTTTGAGACCAGCCTGGTCTACAAAGTGAGTTCCAGGACAGCCTCCAAAGCCACAGAGAAACCCTGTCTCCAAAAACCAAGAGTTCAAAGTCATCCCCTGCTACATAGAGAATCAAACCCAGCCTAGGACAAGCCTGAGATCCCGTCTCAGAACAACTAAAACACGAGACAAGTAAAGGAAGGGTTAGGATGGGAAAATGTGGAGCAGCACTGGGAAGCGTGAAGCTTCAGTTAGCTAGCACCTTCCAAATTGGCACCATGGCATTTCCCAAGGCGTGGGACCATTACAAAAGGCTGAAGCATCGCCCAGGCCATCATCATAAGCAAGAAGTCAAGATACGACTGCCTTCTTCCGTCCAAGTGCTGTGCCTCTCTCCTCCAGCACAGGCTTGGCGAGGGCAGGGAAGGGGCTCCTGCAGCAGCATCAACGATTTGGCAGTGTGAGGCTGGGAACCGCGGTGGGCCTGGCCTTGGGTGCCTTCCTGACTGTTCTTCTCACTGTTGCCAGCACAGGGTACCAAGACTGCAATGACACTTCACAACCAAGGACAGGAAAAACAAGGACAGTTCATATTCCAGAGTTCCACATCTGAGTGACAGGTGTGTGTGTGTGTGTGTGTGTGTGTGTGTGTGTGTGTGTGTGTGTGTGTGTGTGTGTGTGTGTGTGGCATTGCTGCCTGGGGCTCGGACCCTCCACTGCTGCCTCCTGGGCTTGGCTCAGCTGGCCCGAGGAGATAAGAGTGAGGAGCACACACCCTCTCGTTACTCTCTCAACTGTCTTCAGGGCAATGTTCCAAGTCCAGTGTACTCCAGGAAGTCTGACCCACTGCAACTGTGCCCGCCACTGTCATCTCCTAGGCAACGGAGGCCAACAGCCCTTCCTTGTCTTCAGGTTCCCAGGCCTGAAGGGACAGGGAAGGGACAGAGAATGGGGATGGACATCACAGTTTTCCACTTCTGCAAGGAGTGGGTTCCAACAGCAGGCCTGATGCTGTCAGAGTGAGTTGCCTGGTTCACAGATGTTAAGCTATACCCACAAGCAAAGCCTTGGCATTTCTAATTCGTGGTAACTCCTAGAGAAAAGTGTTTGCTACTCTCATGTGTCCCTAAAAGGCAGGGCAAAGCATAGTAGTCCAGTAGACGACTCGGTCCCAAATTTAAAATAAGCAAGCATAAAAAATAAATCATGGGTAGTTGCTTGGAACCTTGGCTTAGAGACTCAAGAGGAAGAAGCAGGGGACAAGGAAACTCCATAATAGTCCTTCTCCAGGCCTGAGGGACAGACACAGAGAAAGGGGCACCAGTGAGGGGCTGACAGGGTCCTGTGGAGGTTAATCTTCAGACCATGATTGAGTACAAGAACCTAGTTAGGGGCCCAGATCTGCAGGAGAAATAAAATTACTGGGAACAGGGAAGCCAGGCACAGAACCTCTTCAGCAAGAGCAGTCCAGAGTTTCTTCTCTTGTCCCAGATAGGTCACCTAGCCAGAGGCAGGATGGGTATGTCACGGTGGCATTCACAAGGGTACTAACCTCCCTGCTCTACCCTGGCCCAGAATAATGTGTGAAACCATAGCCTCTTTGTCCAGCATGGGCTACCAGTGCCGTGAGTCCACCAGCTCAGGCCGCAGGCTGAGCTTCTTGAGACTCTCGTAGCCCACCACGATGACGATGGTGGAGGGTGTAGCCGAGATGATTCGTGCTGAGAGGCCCTTCATGAGGCCCCAAGGCCCCTCTTCTGCCATCAGCTGTCTGAAGGTCAGGATGATGGAGCTCTTGCCTTCAACCTGGAAGAAGCACCACAGTGACGGTTCACCAACTGACTTCAGTCACAAACGCTCTGCTCACCTACACTGTGTGCTTCAGGCTCAAGTGGGGACTCCAAGGGCTAGACTCTGCTTCTGGGGACAGCACAGTGACTTCCTCCAAGCTCTGGTGATAGACTACCTGAGTTTACTTAACCCTTTCTACCCCAGTTTCCTCAAATAGAAAATGGTGATAACAGTCCCTGTGCCACAAGGCTGTTACAAGCAAGAAGCAAACAATACTTGTAAATGCCAACCATAGAGCCAGGCATGGTGGCGCACATCTTTAACCCCAGCACTGAGGAGGCGGAGGCGGTGGATTTCTGTAAATCTGAGGCCAACCTGGTCTACAGAGTGAGTTCCAGGCCAGTCAGAGCTACATGTTGAAACCCTGTCTCAACAACGGGTTGCATTAGCGCTGCCTGGCAGGAGAATGCTCACTGAGTGTCAGCTCTCGCTGCCCTCAGGCAAGCTATCCAGCTGAGTTTTTGGACTACATGCTTCTCTCTGTCCCAGGGAGGCTGCATTCAATCCCTAACAAGGCCCTCAAGCAGCTCTAACCATCCATGGCTGCCCCTGGTCATCTCAACCCCTCTCAGCTTCAGGGCTAGAAGCCTGCACTCTGTTCTGGGGTGGTCATGCATCCAGTAGCCAGGATCTCTTTGCCCTTTCTTCTCAACAGTCCTACCTCCTTCCCCCTGCTCCCAAAGCACAACTAAGAGCCCACATCAAAGCCCTTCTGCCAGTGCAGGACAGACTGCTTATTCATAGCCCCCCCCCCAGTCCGTCAGCTCCCCTCTCTACCCTGGCTTCCTCAGCACCTCCCCCACCTCCTCTCTTTGTCCTCTAGATCTCATCTCGCTTTGCTTCCACAACCTCCTTTAGCCATGTCAAGGGCATTTTTGGCTTGGCCCTAGCCTCCCTCCTAGAACCCACAAAGCAGAAACCCGTCTTTTCCCTAGGATTGCCTGCTAAAACAGCTGGGCAAGGTTAAGGAAAGAATGGGGCCAGCCATAGTTCTCCATGGTAGAGACACTGGAAGATGCGATTGCATCCCAATCAGATGCAGTGTGCTTACTTTCAAACGCAGAAGCAGAGCTCGCTCTTCCTTCCCTCCTACCCTCACCGCATCCCAGTGACCCTTCCTCCACACATCTTTTCTCGATTCTCCACTTTTCACCCTAAACCTGGCTACACATAAGAGTTCCCCTAAGAACCGATGCAGCAGAACCTACCCTTTGCACATTATGTACAAATACAGATCCTGCTTACTGGTGCTAGCTAACTGTCTTCAGAGCTGACTTTAGACAGGGAGTACAATTTCTGGGCAGTACCAAGAACTGTCAGTGTTCCGGATGAGTCTACAACCTGTGAAAGCTATTTAAAAACAATCCCAGGCCAGCAACATGGCTTACTGCTTAGCATCAAGCCTGATGACGCAAGTTCAATCCTCTGGAGCCCACATGGTAGAAAGAGAAGCCAACCACTGAAAGTTAGCTTCTGACCTCTACATGCATATTACAGTGTGTACACATACACCCCAAAAAATCAAAACAAACAAAAAACCCACAAAAGTTCCTCAGCTGGCATAGTGGCATGAACCATTAAGCTTAGTACTTGGAGGGTAGAGGCAGGAAAATCAAGAGTTCAAGGTCATCCTCAGCTACAGAGGGAGCTTGAATCCAGAACAAGGCAAGGCACCTATAACCCCAGCACTCAGGGGATCAGGAATTCAAGGTCAGCATCAGCTTTGAGGCCAGACTGGACTACATGACACCCTGTCTCAAAGATAAAACAAAAACGAACAGACAAAAAGCTGGGGAGGGGGCTGGAGAGATGGCTCAGAGGTTAAGAGCACTGACTGCTCTCCCAGAGGTCCTGAGTTCAATTCCCAGCAACCACATGGTGACGCACAACCATCTGTAATGAGATCTGGTGCCCGCTTCTGACCTGCAGGGATACATGCAGACAGAACACTGCATACATAATAAATAAATCTTTAAAAAAAAAAAAGCTGGGAAGGTGTTGGTGCAGTACTTGCTTAGAAACAGCAGCACTAAAGAGAGAACTGATGGGCAAAGGAGTTAAGACTGGCTGGTTTAACCCACAGAAACAGTTGACCTGAACAAGGGGGAGCTCTTGGACCCCAGATTGATGGCTGTGTGGAAAGCAGGGACTGACCCAGACCCCCTGAATGTGGGTGTCAGTGAGGAGATCTAGGTAATCTATGGGGCCTTGGGTAGTATTTATCCCTGGCGTACAAATAGACTTTGAGTGCCGGGACTCTTGGGGGAGGACCTAGGTCCTGCCCTGGATGAAATGACAGTTACTGGAGATCCACCATAGAGGGCCTCACCGTCCTTGAGGATCTGGGTGGAGATTTTGTGGGGGACTAGGGGACCTGGTAGGGAGGGCGGGGGAGGAAGGGAGGGAGAGGGAGCTGGGATTGACATGTAAAACAAGATTGTTTCTAACCTAAATAAAAAAAGAAAAAAAGAAAGAGCAACACTTCTAAAAGCAAGTGTGACAGTACATGCTGCTAACCCCAGTATTCATTCAAGGCCGTCGCTGGGGTTAGTTATAGAGCTCAAATCTAGCCTGGGATACACAGGAACCTGTCTTTAAGAGTGGAAAAAAAAAAGGGCCAACAGGATGGCTCAGAGGGTAAAGGCTCCTGAGGTCAGGCTTGACAACCCGAGGTTGAGTCCCAGGGTCCACAAACATAAGTAAAGACCTCACCCACTCACACAAGTCTCTTCCTAGCTGCTGTTCCTACTATGTCTATCTAATGTACACACAATAAATACATATAGTAATTTTGAAAGGAAAAAGGACATTTTTATCTCTTTTCCCATTTTTTCACATCTAGTCCCCTCTTCCCTACCCCCAGATCACAACTTTAGAGACCTCCTCTTTGATCTCAGTCTCGTTCTCTGTGGATTCATGGCCTAGTGGAGAAATCAGAGACTTCTGAAGTGAGCACGAAACAATAATTCTCTCACCACAAGCCTGCAAGGCGAGGAGGAGGGGTGGCTCAGGGCCTAGGCGAGGAGAGCGTGCGACCGACCGAGGGCTAGAAGGAAGCAGTAGGAGTTCCCAGACGCTGCCCATGTAGTGGGGAGAGATGTGCAAGGTGCAGAGCTAAGAAAAACAATCTAGACACTTTCAAGAACTCAGATAAGCACCGGAAGGTTACAGGGCTGACTAGACATCAGGGTCACGCACACTGAAGTCACAGGGACACTGGAGGCCTACAGACCACGCTTCTAATCCCCGAATCAAGGGTGGGGAGGAGACTGGGGAGGAAGCCAGCGTTACCTGCACACGGGTTCGGATGACATCCATGGGATTGGTGAGGATGGAGGCAGTGGCTGCAGCCAGGGGCCCAGAGATGGCTTGGAAGACAATGTGAGGGCACTCCTGAGGACACAGGTACGACAGCTGCTCTGGAATCCAGGGAAAGACAACACCTCAAGATACAAGGTAACCATCCACTCACCCTCACAATGCCTCACGACCAAGAGAAGCCCTCAGCCCTCTGCCACCTTGGACCTTTATATTGTATCTTTCGCTTCTCTGCTTCAACCTGCATCCACCAAAAATTCATAATATCTTTGGAGCTTTTCTTTTTTCTTTTTTTTTTTTATTGGTTTTTCGAGACAGGGTTTCTCTGTGGCTTTGGAGCCTGTCCTGGAACTCGCTCTTGTAGACCAGGCTGGCCTCGAACTCACTGAGATCCGCCTGCCTCTGCCTCCCGAGTGCTGGGATTAAAGGCTGTCTTTGGAACTTTTCAGAAGTCATTTTGAACATATCATCCATTAAAAACCTCTTTGCTTGGTGCCTCCGTTCATCTGATTGACAGTTGTAAAAGCAGCAGCACATGCTGCAGGTTTCCTTACGTTTCTAGTAGGAAACACTTAAAACCACATGATTAGCCAGGCAGACCACGGTAGTGCCAGCCTGTAATCTTAGCTCCCTGGAGTCTGCTACCACATGGGCTGCAGAGTAAATCCCAGACCAGCTCGAGCTTCAGTGTGAGGCCCTGTCTCAAATCCTTTAAAAAATGTGACACTGATACACAGTGGTCTCTATGGAAGGGACCGGATGCCTGCCATGAATAAGAAGGCTGTTCACTACATATGGCAAACCTTTTCCTTTCAAAGTTCTTTACCTTTAGGGGGTTGGGGGAAGACAGGGCAGCACGTAGCTCAGACAGGCCTGGAACTTAGTATGTGGGAGAGGACGAGCTCTGATCTCCTCTCGTCACCTCTAAGCACTGGGATTACAGACACATGGCATCTCAGCTGGTCTACACAGTACCTGAGATGGCTCCCAGGGTTTCATGCATGCCAGCAAGTACTCTACCAATTCAGCCACATTCCTAGCCCTTCAAAATTCGCTTGGAAGTTTTGACTATGCAAATATTTTTTTAAACAATGTTTTTTTTTTTTTTTTTTTGGCTTTTCGAGACAGGGTTTCTCTGTGGCTTTGGAACTCCTGGAACTCGCTCTGTAGACCAGGCTGACCTCAAACTCACAGAGAACCGCCTGCCTCTGCCTCCTAACATTTGGGAGGCAGAGACGGGCCAATTTCAGGACATCCAGGGCTACACAGAGAAACCCTCTTAAAAACAAAATAAAACAAAGAAAAGCTGCAGACTGGCACAGCGATGCACCTCAAAAATGAAGGTAAGAGGGCTTGGAGTATAAGGTCACCTTTAACTACAGCGTGAGCTCCAGGCCAACTTAGACTACATCAAACTCCATCTCAAGAGAGGAAGAGGTCTCAGGGCCTGCAAACAAATTCTCTGCTTTACTCTCTTCCGAGGGAAGACAAGAGTTCATTTATTTAGTAAACAAAGACTCAGTGACTACCACGGGTTCACCACGCTGGGTCCGGAGGGCAGGACAGTGACTAAAAGTGCCTCAGAGTCTTGCCCCCAGGAAGTACACATTCTAGCAGGAGAGAAGGGACAATAAACAAATACGAAGTAAAACACATAGCCATGTAGGAGGTGCATACTATAGCTAAAATAAAGTAAGACAGGGAATGCCAAGGGTAGGGGTGAGGTGCATTGTGATTTTAAACAAAGCAGCCATGGCACTTCCTAAGAAAGTGACGTTCAGAAACCACCTGATGGCGGAAATATAAACCTCGTGTGCCTGTGCAAGGAGCTTTCCAATGACAACATCTGTCAAGGCAGGGGCAGGTGGATCTCATGAGCTCAAGGCCAGCCTGGTCCTCAAAGTGAGTTCCAGGATAGCTAGGACTGTTACACAGAAAAACCCTGTCTCAAAAAACAAAACAAAACAAAAAGTGCCAAGGCAGCAGCACGCCTGAGGGGTTCAGAGCAGACCTGGAGGGGGCAGTAAGTGAGAGTCGAGGTAAGTAACCCAGGATCCTGAGGGCACTAGAAGAATTTAAGCTTTTACACTAAAACAGGAGGCCATAGACTTGTAATCTCAAAGATTTCCTCTCAGAGTTTCTCTTCTACTGTCAGTCACTAGTCCTTAAGATTGTTTTTCAGATGCTTAGTCCTGGTAGTTTGTGGCTAGGTGGGTAAAGGTTACAGGAGATGCAGGAAGACGGGGTTGGCAGGGCGGAAGCCACAGACAGCTTCGGTCTCAGTTGACGTGCAAAATTCTGTAAGCCTGGTGGAGTCACCTCTTCCCCAGTCCCTAACTGTGTCTCCCCAAAGTCAAGCATGCCAACAGAAACAGGGCAATCTGGAGTCTGCCTCATGAGTGCCCTCCCCTTTTCTCCCCAAGGTGGCATTTTGCAATCGTTAGACTGCAGCATTGAGACCCGCACTGCCTGCCTCCTGGGCCTGTATGCACGGGCCCCAGGCCTGCAAGCTGCACAGGACCTGGATTCGAACTCTAATTCTGTAGAGATGCTACTCTCCTAGAGCTCAGAGAATGGAGAGAGTTAAGAGGGCACCACAGAGTCCATGTCTTTCTTCTCTCTTATACTCCTTCAATAAATGTTTACTGAGCACCTAAATCTACAGGCAGACTCAGTTTAGGTATCTTCTAGCTAAGTGACTTTGGACACCAGTAATAAATGAATGTTTATTTAGTGTTTGCTAAATGCCAGGCATTATGATAAGCACTAGACCCGTGCAGAGGAAGAAGAGTCCCACATGTGGGCAGCCTTCAATCCCAGCACTTGGGAGGCAGAGGCAGACGGATCTCTTATTGCTTAAGACCAGCCTGGTCTACAGAGCAAGTTCCAGGCCAAGGGTCTACATAGAGACACAAAAATAAAGCAAACAAACAAATACAGAAATATTTTCATGGATCTTAAGATTCTAATAAAGGAACTAGTAGTTGAGGGTAAAATAATTGCAAACTGAAGTGTCAAGAAGAAATAAAGGAGCTAAAACAGAGACAGCCTTCTTTCCAACAGGGTAAAGAAGTTCTCTGTGGGTGGCACACATCTTTAATCCCACCACTTGGGAGGCAGACAGGCAAATCTCTTTGAGTTTGAGGCTAGCCTGCACTACATAGTGAGTTCCTGGACCTTCAGGACTATGAACAACCTGTAGCAAAAAACAACAAAAAAAGTTTTGTTTTGTTGTTTAACAAAGGTGACATATAATTGAGGCCTAAAGCATAAGGAGCCAGCCACATAAAGAATAGAGGAAAAGGCCAGCATTGGTGGCACATGCCTTTAGTCCCAGCACTCAGGAGGCAGAGGTGGATTTCTGTGAGTTTGAGGCCAGCCTGGTCTACAAAACTACACAGAGAAACCCTGTCTTGAAAAATAAAAAAAATAAAAAATAAAAATAAAAAAGGAAAAGATGCCCCAGGCAGAGAGCTCTACCACTGAGTTGCACACCCAGCTTTGTAAGCAGAACTTAAGAGACTAATCCATTAGAACATATATAAGGTACAGCTGTAAACCTGGCTGTTGGGCAGCAGAGGTGTAGGCAGATCATAAATCCAAGGCCTGCATGACTACAGAACAAGTTCAAGTCCAACCCAGCAGCTTAGTGAGATGCTGTCTCAAAATCAAAAGTATAAACGGGGGTCAGTATGTACCTAGCTTATCGAAACATGACCTGATCCCTAGCATGGCATAAACCAGACGTGGTGCAAGCCTTTAATCCCAGCACCCAGGACGTAGAGGAAGGAGGATTAGAAATTTGAGGTCAGGCAGCCTGGCCCACATATCTATCAGGCAAGCTAGGGCTATATAGTGAGGCTTTATCTCAGAAAGAAAAGAAAATAAGGTCATCTTCGAGTACACAGTAAGTTGGAGGCCAGCGTGGGATACACAGTTTTTGATACCCTGTATCAAAAACAAACTGGGAATACTGACATATGACTGTCATCCCAGCAGCTGGACAGAAGGTACAGGTAAAAGGATCATGAGTTTGAAGTCATTCTTGGCTGCAGAGCAAGCTTAAGGCCACCACATTGGATAATATGAAACCTTGACTCAAATAAAAAGCACTGGGTGGTGGGCACATGCCTGTAATCCCAGGACCTGGTGGGGAGAGGCAGCAGGATCAGTAGTGTAAGGCCGCCTGAGATACAGGCTTCCCAATGAAAACCAAAGGGAAACAAAAAACAACACACACAAACCTCAAGAACAAACACAAAATCAGCTAAGTGTGGTGGTGTAAGCCTGTAATTCCAGTAGCATAAGAGACAAAGGCAGGACCTTACCAAAAAATAAAATTTAAGTACCCTAGAACTTTAGAGACTGAAGCAAGAAAAATCCTGAGCGTTCAAGGACAGCCTGAGCTATATACTGAGTTTCAGGCTAGCTTGGGCTGTAGAATAAGACCCTACTATAAAAACAAAACCAATGTTTAATTTTTAAAGAGCCAGTGATAGAGCTCAGTGGCCAAGCAGCTGTGTGTGTGTGCAAGGGCGCACGAAGCCTCCCACTGCAGACGGAGCCTTCACACGTTTGGCTGACAATGCTGCAGGGTGTGGGCACACAGGGAAACACTTGATCCCTTGGAGGCAAAGGCCAAACGCAGACTCCGGAGAAAGCGTGCTCCGAGGCTTTCTCTAGTTTTATTTAGTCTGCCTTTTCTGCAGCGCTAGGGATCAAACCTCTGGCCTCACAAGTGCTAGCCAAGCTCGCCTCAGCTGCCCAGCTTTCCTAAGTGTCTGATGAACCCAGCACCTACGGAGCAAGAGCAATGCTGTTAGCACTACAGTGTTGGACTACAGTGAGTTTGAAGCCAGTCTAGGTTCAACAGGGAGACCCTGCCTCACAAAAACAGAGGAACAAAAACTGACTGCCAGAATGTACTCCCAAAGGGTAAGGGTGACAGTACAGGGTTCAACTTTACCACAAAGCCTAGATGAAATACTGTGATGAGTAGAAGAAACAGAGCTAGCAAAACTTGGGGTCGGCTGGGTTCAGCAGCATGCACCTGTGACCCCAGCAGTCAGTGGGGATCCCGCATCTCCCCTCTAAAAACACACAGAAACAACAGTATTGCCGCCCCATCAGAAAGCGCTCCCCTTCCCAGGCCCTGCTTACCCGCATAGAAGTGATAAAAGGGCCACCATACAGCACTGTTGGGGATGTATGTCAGCAGTGAGGCCACGTAGCCTCGGTAGAAGCCTCGAAGCCCATCAGCACGCAGGATCTGTCTGATGATGTCCTTAGTTTGGCCAAAGGCAATTATCCCTTGTCCCTCTAGGTTCCCATGAACTTGGAAGCGACCCATTTTCTCCCCCTTGCGCTGCATCATCAGGTGCTGGGAGACAACATCGATGGGCACTGTGATACTCTGGGCCACCAGGGAGGCAGCGCCGCCGGCCACCAGTGACTTGACTGTGTTACTCTGGCTGTAGTCGGATACAAACTTCCGGGTAAGCTCGTAAGTGGTGACGTAGCATTGGCCAGAGACGAGTGTGAAGGTATTGACCAGGAAGCCCCGGTAGAGGCCCGTCACGCCATCTGCTCGCAGGATCTTGACAAAGGCATCAAAGGTCCCGTGGTACAGGCTCTTGCCCTTCTGAACCTGAAGCCGAGTGCGGATGAGGGTGAATGGGTACACGCTAACACGGATCATCATGGTCATCGCCACACCAAGCACATAGAACTTCTTCTTGTCCAGGTGTTCCCACTCGATGATCTGGATGTTTCGCTTGTCCTCCATTGTGCCCGGGGACCTGGGATTTGGGCAGGCAGGAGGATGTGAGGGAGGTCAGAACCTCATTTCTTTCCCCTGCCCAGGTTTCAAAGTCATCCTCTCGGTCTGTCTCTTGGGATACTCGCCTCGGGGAAACCTATCCTTCAGACAGCCTGGCTCTGTGCATACCCAACCCAGAGCAGCCCCACGGCACCTCTGCCCTCTTTCCAACTCAGCACCCGTCCTCCAGAAATCATGCCTAGCCATATGACAAGGCTAGACCAACCTCACCTCACCACATGACAAGGCTAGGCCAACCTCACCTCAACCCCTACTCAGCCTGTAGGACTGTCCATTCTGAATTCTGTCTCTGCCTAGGTCTTGGCATCAGAGTCCTGAACACGGCTCATTCTGTCTTCCTTGCTTGGGTACGCTTAGGATGCCACGGACAGTCCATCCACCTGGATTTGAGGCCTACATGGCTAATGGGGCGTCACTAGGTGACACGGAGGAGGTTCCTGGAGCCTGGACTGCTCCTGGTTGCTCTGCAGAAGCAACCACCTTTGCCCTTTCACCCTCGGTGTGAGTCACCTGATGTACGAGTGTGCCTGCTTACCTCACTTCCAGCCCCAATGCTGGCTGTCCCGATGCCCCTGCCCCCCCACCGTAATTTACATTTTCTCTAGTCTACATTAGAAGAAAGTGTGGGGAAGAGCGCAGGCAGGGATTTCATGCTATGGGGCATTCCCTAACCACCTCCCCACTCTCCAGGGAAAGGAGTCTAAAAGTCAGGAACAGGCCAAAGGTCAGAGTGCTCTTTGGCCATAGATAACCCCAGAAAGAGAAAAGAGCCACCTGAGCTGGTTTCCCTGAAGAAAGCTTCAGGGCCTGCTTGAATCTGGGCTGCTAACCCTGGGTGTCCAAACGGCAAAACGAGAAACATTTCTGGAAAATGAGCAAACTGAAGACTGTCTAATAGGTCGAATGTAGTGAGTCGCGTAGCTGCTCAGTGGTGGAGGCAAGATAAAAGCCAAGATCCGTACTCCCCAATGCCTCCCGCGCCATTCGAGGTGAAGATCCCAACACAACTTTCTCTGTTCGACTGAAAACTAAGTCCTCCCATGGGAGGCAGTGTAAATGCGCTCATGACCGCCAGTTCTCCCAGCTTTATTCCAGAGACAGCTAGGACTGCCTCCTCTCTCTCGGTGCTCCTGCGGAGAGACTGAGCTTACTGGCCGAGCGAGCATGTGGTCATCACAAGACAAACACAGCAGGGCGGAAGGGAGGCCTCTTGCTGGGCACGCACAAACTGCGTGCAGCCCGGGCGCAAGGGCAGACAGAGAAGTGTCTGCTCCAGGTCTCACCTCCTAACCCTGCCAAGCTGTCACCCTGGGCAGGCATTTCTAATGAGCAATCCTTGGGCAGGGCCCACTGCTCCAACTCCCCTGCTGCCTTCTCTCTCCTGTGTCAATTACTATAACTCCTCTGAAGGAAGCCAGGGTTCCCCAAGGCAGGTGATTCCTACCAATGTCATGGCAACAGGAGGAGCCACTGAAGGTCATGACTCAATCAGTATTAGAGGGCGCTACACCCTTGGAAAAAGGAGTTTCTCCCTCAAAGTGGGATCTCCGCTTGCTCACAGTCATATAACCTCGGGACATTCTGCTGAAATGTCGGTTCCCCTGTTTCATCTGCTGGAAAATCCTCTTTGCAGAAATCTGAATACAAGCCTTCTTCAGCCTCCCTTCCTCCTGGAGGTCCCACTCCTTTATGGCGCTTTGTCAGACCCTGATTTGTGCAAATGACCCCAGCTCTGGATTTTCTGGCACCTTTGCCACCGTGCATGGGGCCGAGGATGTAGCCCAGTCCACAGAGTGCCTGCCTCGAGTGTACCAGGCCCTGATTCCATCCCCAGCAGGGCATAAAAAAGCAGGTGTGGTGGCCCACGCCTGTAGGCCTAGCACTGGAGAGGCGAGGGTAGAGGACCACAAACCCACAGTCTTAGACTATATAGCAAGTCCAAGGCTAGCCACGGTTACAAGAGACCCGGCTCTAAGAACAAAACGGATCGTGTTCTGAGGAAGGTCAACTCCTTCTGTACATCGCAATGGGTTACTCGGAGCGTGTCATACCTGAAGCTACCATGAGAAACGGAAGGCAGACTCGCACAAGCACACACTTCCCTGTCGCTTCCACCGTGGACAAAACCCACAACTAAACGACTCACCTGGCCTTGCTGCTTGTTTAGTGTGGGTCTTGTGCGGCCCATGGTGGCCTTGATTCCTCCTGTCTTCACCGTCTCCTAAATGCTGGGATTACAGAGTGAGCCACCATACCCTTGCCCAGTTTATTGAGCATAGGGACCAAGCCTAAGTCTTCCTGCACGCTATGCAAACATTCTGCCAGCTGAGCTAGACCATCAGCGGTTGGAGCTACTAACCGTGACAGCATTTTGTTAACGGTAGAGTATTTCTCTCACTGCACAAAGTTCTACTGAGCGGTGATTCCCTATGTCCTCGCCACCCACAGTGACCCACAGGTCGGCAGCACGGGCATGACCTGGAGTTGCCTATACAAGAGCACGGCAGGCATGCTAGCACATGTTAGTCACTCCAGCACAAGGGGGCTGGGGCCAGAGAAACAGGAGTTCAAAGTCAGCCTGGGCTACACAGGCTGGGGGAAGGGGACTTCAGGCCATACCTTACACCTGCTGATTAAGAAATAACACTGACATCTCTAGGTGGTTTATATTGACTGTCAAAGTGTGGGGAGCATTGCTTTAATTACTAGAGACTGTCAGTTTAATAAGAATTATAACTGTTCTCAGAGTCCAAGATCCTTAGGACTAGGTTAGGAGCCCTCTGACTCCATCTGGGATCCGGATGCAATAACGATCAATTGGTCCATTGCAATCTTATACATCAGGTTACTTGTGCTGGTCAGCAGCTGACCAGACTCAGGGGCTGCAGCTCTCAGACAGAAACGAATGCTAACCAGCACCTTCTCTTCTCCCTGCCCTCTGTGCCGCATCAGGCTCTGCATCCTGGGGGCTGTCACCCACTTGACCGTGAACGCATCAAGTCACCTGTTCCGCTGACTGTCCATTGTCTTTCCCTAGGTCCTAGCGAAGTCTCCTACTTCAAGACAGCCTCCTCCCTCCGCCATGGTGAGGTTCCCACCCAGCCTTCCTTGGTCTTTAATATAGATTTCCACGTGATCCCTCATCACAGACACATGACAATCCCCTCCACACGCCGGGCGGTGGTGGCCCACGTCTTTAAGCCCAGCACTGGGGAGGCAGAGATAAGAGGATCTCTGTGAGTTCGAGGCCAGCCTGGTCTACAGAGCGAGTTTCAGGACAGCCTCCAAAGCTACAGGGAAACCGTGTCTTGGAAAACAGACAATCCCCCTCCACATACTCCACGTGACACCCTTCTCTGTGCACCTTCGGTCCGGCTCTTGCACCGCCAGTTCAGGGTCCTTGGGTATGCCCCTCGCCATGCTCCTCTAGTCGTCAGCCTCTCCTGCTCCTATGCCAGGAAGAGAAGCCTCGCCGGACTTGCCTTTCGTAGCCAAATTTGCAAGGCGGCTTCCCATGGCGATGCAGCCCCGCAGAGCAGACATCCGCTGCCTCCTCCACAAGTCGGTCCTCAGGCACCTCGGATCCCTCAAGGCACCCACGCACCGCTGTTGCTTACCTTCCCAGACCCCGGCGGTTCGGCCGCGTCTGAGAGCTGCAGCCGCGAATTCCTAGACCGCAGTGCCCGCACGACCCTCCATTCCCAGTGACAGCCCGACTCGGTTCGCATCTTCCTCCATCTCGACTGGGATCCTGGTACTGCCGGAACCGGAAACCGGGATGCTGTCATTCCCACCCCATGTGAAGAAGCTGTAATTCCACCAATGGTGTTCTTAGCATTTGAGCCTCCCTCTAGGCGCGCCTCTTCGGCCATCTTGGATTAGGGAAGTAGCCACGCCTGCTTTAGCTTCCATATGCCCTCAACCTGTCACGAGTGCGTGTCCCTCTAGGGACCGTCGCAATTGGCTGACACAAACCAAGAGTCAGAGGTGGCTGCTCCCTCCCTCCCTCTCCCCCTCCTTCCCTCCCTCCCTCCCTCTCTTCTCTTTTTTTCCTTCTTTTTTATTATTTTCTTCTTTTTTTCAGACCTCTTTTCTTTCTGGGATAGGTCTTGCTATGAAGACCTGGCTGACCTCCACCTTGTTAACCCCCCCTACCTCAGATTTCCAAGTGCTGTGATCACAGACCTACCTGTGCCTCCACTCCTGGTTTCTGGGGCTCTTCTTGACAATACAGTTAAAATGAGTCACCTTTTAGAATCTGATTTTCAGCAGAGAGAAGAAGGGAATCTAATCTTTAAATTTTTTTCTGTACCTTTTCTCATTTTTGGAGCCCAAAAAGTAGAGGTCAAATTGCAGCAGGCTCTGGTATAGGAATTCAAACTGGAGAAATGAAGTGACCCCGGCTCTGGGTCTGCTTTTACCCACGTGTAGGTTTTTAAAAGTTGTTTGTTCATTCTATGCTTTCAGTCTGTGCTGGTTAGTGTTTTTCTGTCAACCTGAAACCAGTTAGATACATCTGGGAAGAGGAAATGTAAAGGGAGTAATTGCTTTCGGTGGACTGGCCTGTAAGCCAGTAGGCTGGCATTTTATGGGTTAATAGTTGATGTGGAAAGACCCAGCCCACTGTGGGTTTTGCTACCCTTGGGCAGGCTGAGGGTAAGCCTAAGGAGAAAGCCACTATGTGGTCACTCATAGTCTCGGCTTCAGTCCTGGCCTCTTAGTTCCTGCCTTGAGTTCCTGTCCTGACTTCCTTTCATTATGAGCTATAATTTTTAAGATTAAGAAAATCCTGCATGTGGTGGCACATATCTTTAGTTCCAGCATTCAGGAGGCAAAGGCAGGAGGATCTCTGTAAGTTCAAAGCCAGTCTGGTCTACATAATGAGTTCCAGGACAGCTAGGAATACATAAAGAGACCTGTCTCAATAAACCAAAAAAGAAAAGAGCCGGGCGTTGGTGGCGCACGCCTTTAGTCCTAGCACTTAGGAGGCAGAGGCAGGTGGATCTCTATGAGTTTGAGGCCAGCCTGGTCTGCAAAGTGTTGTGCCCAAATTCTGGACCCCCAAATCACCAAGAGACCCATTCCAAGGCAAAGAGTCTTTTTTTTTTTTTTTTTTTTTTTTTTTTTTTTGGTTTTTCGAGACAGGGTTTCTCTGTATTGCTTTGGAGGTTGTCCTGGAACTCGCTCTGTAGACCAGGCTGGTCTTGAACTCACAGAGATCCGCCTGCCTCTGCCTCCCGAGTCCTGGGATTAAAGGCGTGCGCCACCACCGCCCTGTGGCAATGAGTCTTTTATTATTTAATGAATTAAATGTGCTAACTCGGGTCTTCTGTCCCTCCAACGTGGCAGGCAGAAGTGAGAAGGACTGGAAGGGGCCTCGAGGCAGGGAATTTATTGGGATGTTCAAGGAGAGTGTCTAGGGGGAACACGACAGTCTCAGGACTGGTGCATTTCTGGGCTTAGGCAACCTGTCCGGTGTTGACTGGTCAACTGGTTGTTACGACCTATAGGCTCTCCCAGGGCAGGTGATATGCTCTGTTAGTCACCGTTACTCTATACTGGAAATCACATCCAGAGCCCGCCATCTAACTTCTGATTGGTTCCTTTCCCATGGAGGATATCTGACCTCCTAGGAAGACCTGCAAGGTCAAGAAACTCAGCACATTTTGCTGAGTCAGGTGGGTCTTTTCTGCAGCCTGTCATGCAGCTCAAAGCAGGGTGGTGGGTGAGAGTCTGATCCCTTCAAAAGCTAAACAGGAACCCTGTCTGGGACAAAAAAGGGAAATCCTATTCCATGTTGTTTTTGTTTTTGTTTTGGGGTTTTGAGACAAAGTTTCTTTGTGTAGTCCTGACTGTCCTAGAACTCACAGAGATCCGCCTGCCTCTGCCTCTGCCTCCCAAGCACTGGCATTCAAGGTGTGCGCCACCAATACCTAGCCCAAGTTGTTTGGTCATGATGTTTATCACAACAATAGAAGGCAAACTAGGACACAGTCTTTCATTTTTATTTTCAACTTCACTAATACATAAAGGCACAAAATTTGAATGTATTAATTAATTAGTACCATGTGATTTGGTTTTGTTTTGAGATAGGGTCTCACACTGGTAGTCCATGCTATTTTGAAAACTTATCATGGTCCTAGAGTGACCTCAAACTTACAGCAGTGGTACTACCTCATGTTTGCATATTCTGGGATCATAGGCACGAGCCACCATGATGGCCTTTGAACATTATTTCTTTTATGAGACACGGTTTCTTTGTGTAGCCCTGGCTGTCCTGGAACTCACTCTGTAGACCAGGCTGGTCTCGAACTCTGAGATCCCCCTGTCTCTGCCTCCCAAGTGCTGGGACAATCATTTCTTTATGGAGAAAACTCAGATTCCCCTCTAGCTTTGGGGAATATACAGCATATTGTTGCTATATTGTATATTATTATATCTGTTATACAGCAACTCTTCCTGGGTGCAGAATTTCTTCCTCCTAACTATAACTTACTACCCACTGTAACTTTCTTTTTTGCGTGTGTGTGGTTTTTACGAGACAGGGTTTCTCTGTATTGTTTTGGAGGCTGTCGGTCCAGCCTGGCCTCGAACTCACAGAGATCCGCCTGCCTCTGCCTCCCGAGTACCCACTGTAACTTTCTTACCGTGCTCTCCTCCACCTCTCCACAGTCTCCGGTAACCATTATTCTTCTTCTAACTTCCCCCTTTCATTCCCTGCATCCACATCAGTCGCCTCACTACACCTGTAACCCCAGCTGCAAGGGATCTGACACGCTCCTCTAACCTCTGTGGCAGCCGCATACACGAGCACATGACCAACAATACGATATACACATGCACAGATAAAAACAATCTTTAAAAGGAATTTAAAAAGCTCCTAACTGCTCAGCCTCTCTTCATACCCACATTGTTTCCTTCAATTTTATGGGTGTTTTATTTTTATTTGGTTTGGTGTTGGTTTCTCAAGACAGGGTTTCTTTGATTAGCCCTGGCTGTCCTGGAATTCACTCTATAGACCAGGCTGGCCTAAAACTCTGAGATCCCCCTGCCTCTGCCTCTCAAGTGCAGGGATTGAAGGTGTGCACCATCACTGCAAGGCAACCTTAATTTGTTAATGTAAGCATTTCGACGGATCGGATGGGATGGACAGGGATGGATTATGGCACTTGGGAGCCAAGGAATACCACAGGTCACAGTAAGCATAGTAGCTCACAGCCTTGCTTCAGGGAAAGGCTTCCCTAGTGTATCAGCGCTGCTCTGGCAGGAGAGGGTACCCAGCTGGGGATATTTTCCCAGTGTAGCTCAGGCAGGAGACCCCAATGAAGTTGCTACAGTTCAGCTCTGCTCCAGGGAGAGTGGAGAGGGGATCTGCCAGGGGAAGGTTTCGCTGGCAAAAGTGTTACAGCCCTGCTCCCTCTGATCTGCTGCAAAAGAAGATCTTCACCTAAACCTCATTCAAGAGATTTATTGGGAGGGAAGAATCCAGGAGAGTGACAGCCCTCTGCCAGAGTAGCAGAGGACAGCTGGGTAGCATGAACAGTCACAAGCTGAACAGACACAGGGTTTATATAGGGCTTCCAGGGTGGGAATTGGTCAGATTTCAATCTCTGAGATCTCCTGCTCAGGGATTGGTTAGTTTTCTGCACAGGATTAGGGTCAGAATTGGCTCTGGTTTCAGGGCCAAAGTGTGTTTCTTTCTCTGGTTCTTTTTAGCCTTTTGGCTCTAGTTTTAGGGTCAGGGTGTATTTCTATTCCTTTCACTGGTTCTGATTCTAGGGACAAAGTGTGTTCCTTTGGCACTGGTTTCAGGGTCAGGGTACATTTCTTTGGTTCTGGTTGCAGAGACAAAGTGTGTTTCTTTGATTCTGCTCAAGGTGTGTTTCTTTGGCTGAGTTGGTCTCTGCAGAAAACTAACCATTCCTTGAGCAGGAGCTCTAGCCAATCTGCGCTCAGCATTGAAATCTGACCAATCCCCACCCTGGAAGCCCTATATAAACCCTGTTTCTGTTCAGCTTGTGGCTGTTCGTGCTACCTGGCTGTCCTCTGCCACTGTGGCAGAGAGCAACCACTCTCCTGGATTCTTCCCTCCCAATAAACCCCTTCGATGAGCTTCGGGTGAAGACCTTCTTTTGCCGAGCGAGCAGGACTGTAGCACTTTTGCCGGGGAAATCTTCCCCTGGCAGAACAGAGTTGTTACATTCCGCTCTCCACTCTCCCAGGAGCAGAGCTGAACTGTAGCAACTTCACCCAGGAAACTTTCTCCTGCCAGAGCAAAACTGCTACACTGGGCAAACATCCCCAGCTGGAAGACTCTCTCCTGCTGGAGTAGAGCCGATACACTGGGGAAGCCTTTCCCTGAGGCAGGGCTGTAAGCTTACTGCGGCCGGTGGTAGTCCTTGGCTCCTGAGCTCCAGGATACCTTTCCATCTGAGCTGTGTAACACTCAGTATTCTGTGACTCCTGAGTGCCAGAATACCTGTCCCACCCTGTCCATCCGAGATGCCTACAATATGTATTTCTCCAGGGCTGACTATTTGATATTGGATCACTAGTTGGTGTGCTCTTCCTTGGGGAAGACTGAATTGTA